CACTTCGCCAGATGGTGCTCCCTTTTCTTTTGTTTACCCATCGTCCCTCAGTTTACCTAAACCAACCTTAACTACTAAACTATGGACGCCACCCGAGCAGCATCACCGCCGGACACCGAGCAGTAAGTCCTGTATTTACAGAAAACATCATAAAATCATGCCGTGAAAGAACAAAACCTCTTTATAGCATCAAACTTTTGTTAGCCGATCTCTATTTACAGCTCAGGACCCTTTGCAGACAGATGTTAAATGTTGAGTTTTTATAACTTTAAACGTGAAAAAACAAAGTGTTTCGTTGACTTTACTTTACGTTATGCTTCATGATATATAAGCATCAAACACGGACGTCTTCTGTTGCCGTGCAATGTGTTGACACCTGTAGGAGTGTATACTGTTTGTACTTTAATGATTTGTGATTTCTCAATCTAACTTTCTTTAATTTATCCGCACGACGCTTGGCTGTTGATTGACAGCTGCGGCAACCAATAAAGTCTCTTGTTGACATGGTTACGCAGCGACATTCCAGAGATGTGGAGGAAACTGGGGCGGGACTTAAAGTTTAGCTTGGATGGATAGACTTTTTAACTTCAAGATACGGTGAAACAAAAGATTTTTTCTAAAAGCCGAAGCAGTTTGCAGGTAGCGGACATTTTATTCTTTGCACAGACTACAAAAGTTGTGTTTATAATGTTTTCCTTTACTGTATGTAACTTTTTCTTCCACTCTTTGATAACTTTGCTGGCAGGCAGAGCTAACGAAGCTAACGCTAAGGCGACATTTAAGGTGAACGTTTGTTTTATTCCCTGACAGTCGCAGGTTTGAGCAGCTTTTCGACAAAACGTTTATTCCCAGCGAAGGCTATAAACGAAAGTTTGTGTTTTAAAAAACAGTCAGGCTTGAGAAGCCGGAATGACACCAGGCGTGTGTAGGTGTTTGATTTTACCTGCATGTCTGACAGGTGTGAAAACTCTTGTGTCTCATTGGACAGTAGATGCTCTGTCTCCGCCTTCTTGCAGGTGGCGTCCTTTACTTTACAAACGCTCCCACCACTTAACCACTTTACCAGCCACAGCACCAAATTCAACCCGGGTTTTCCGCTGAACATAACAAACAAATTAGTTATATTAGCATGATTATGCTATTTTATTTAGAAGCAAAACCTTTTTAAATCCCCCAAATTGACAGAATATTATGAGAACCAAAAAAACAAACCAACCTGTTACAGACTCATGGCATAAATGATGTGCTATCACATATTAGTCTCTAAGTCATTTAAAATAAGTTTATGAATACACATTTAATGACCTTTGTCTAGTGACATACTGTCATTGGAATGCTACACACACGAAAGAATGGGAAAACTGAAGATGTGAGTACTGTTCACATGAACAGTTTATAGGATTCTATGTTAAACACAGGAGCTGTTTGCATTTCCTATATTTTTCTCTCTTTTGTCTTTTATCATTAATATTCCTAAGGGGTGAAAATGGAATTTGGTTTTAAAGTTTACATTTTTAACATTAAACAGGAAACGGGCTGACCAGATCTTTTCTCCCTATTATGTTGCACTCCATGTTGTAGTGTAGATAAAGCACACTGCTGAGGGAAGCAAAAATAGAACCAAGGTTACATGCAAAGCCCCTTTGTTGCATCAGGCCTATAAAGAGGTCACAGTATGTCTGAGTGCATAAAAGTGCATATAAGTGTCCCAATGTTGAAAGTCTGACTTTATGTTTTACTTTTTTTTGTTTTTGTCGTGCAGCAGGTAACATTTCTGTGAGCTGAACTAGGTGATGACACAAAGATGGAAGGTGCGGAGTTTCAGGAACAGAACTGAGGCCACACTCCTGCTCCTTTCTGCTTCTTCGCCTGCTGTTGCCTGTGCTTGGTCCAGCTTCAGAACAGCCTTCATATGTGTGACTGAAACTCAAGGTATCAAGGACAAGAGAAGACTTCCCTGAAATAATGTTCAGACCATCAGATTTATCATCCAAGAGACGCCCATGTGGTGTTAGCAGTCTAAGCTTGCCTCAGCCTCCTGCAGCATCCTCCTCCGTCCATCAGAGCTGTATCCGAGCTGTGGAGGTGGCCAGAGGGAGGACAGGGTATGGGTTCACACTTTCAGGCCAGAGCCCCTGTGTCCTCAGCTGTATCCTAAAGGGAAGCCCTGCAGACTACGTAGGCTTACGCTCTGGAGACTACATCCTCTCTGTCAATGACATCAACGTCTCTAAGGCTTTACATGAAGATGTGGTCAAACTGATTGGCCGCTGCTCTGGCGTTTTAAAACTGGTTATCGGAGAGGCAGAGCGCCCCAGACGGCACCATCACCACCACCGCGGTGCTGGGAGTCGCCACCACAGTGGTAACTCTATGGGAGCTTCACATTTGGACTCGTGCTCTAGTGATGATGAACTTGACGGTTTCTATGACAATGGTGTTAACAACAACAATAATGGCAGGTCCGGTGGTGGAGCTCGGGGGGGTTGGTACAAACCCAAGCTAGATTCTAAGCAGATAGGCATCAACCGTGCAGAGAAGGTGGTGGCGGAGCTGCAGTCTGGAGGAATTTTCAACATGATCTTTGAGAACTCCAGCCACTCCTCCAGCAGTTCAGACAAGGAGAGGCCTGGAGGAAGCACCTCCTCCAAGCCTCGTCCAGTGTCTGATCCAGAATTTCCACCATACAGAAACTGCCCTCGGACCCAGAGCAATCCCAACTTACTATCTGAGGAAGAGATGGCCCAAGTTCTGAATGACGATTCAGTCTTTCTGGACTCAGACTTTCGTCATCTTCACCTTCACTCTCAGGAAGAGCAGGATGTGGATGTAGGAGATGGAGGTGACTTGGGCTTAGAGCCTGGTGAAGGTATCCTCAATGTTGGCATGATTGTGGGCTACCTGGGCTCCATCGAGCTGGCCTCTTCTGGGACGAGTTTAGAGAACGACAGCCTGCAGGCCATCAGGGGCAGCATGAGACGCCTGAGGGCAGAACAGAAGATTCACTCACTGGTCCTCATGAAGGTGCATCTGGATTTGTATATGGCATAAATATGTTTAGAGTAACTTTTGTTAGCTGGGGTTATTGTTAGTAGAAACACATTCATTTTTATTGTCTTATTCCTCCAGGTTATGCATGACAGCGTCCGTCTGTGCAGTGACAGGGGTCAAGTCCTGGCCACCTACCCCGCAGAAAAACTAGCCTTCAGTGCCTGCTGTCCGGATGACCGCCGCTTCTTTGGCCTGGTGACCATGCAGGCCACAGATGACCATGACCATTTCCGTTTTAGCATTGGTCGAGATGAAGATGGTGGTTTGAGGACTTCCTGTCATGTGTTTATTGTGGACCCGGATCTCTGTCACCACCAGGTACAAATGAAGTTGACTGTTTTATATTGTTTTGTTTGGTTATTGTATCTTAACACCAATAAGTATGTAATAGTTTTCACCATTTTTACCAATGAATTATTTATGTTGCGTTCAGTTCAGTTTCAGTGTGAAATCATCACATTTTCTTTTCCACTTACTCTGCCTTGCTGACTCACCCCCTCACAACCACATACTCACACACACACACCCACACACGGAACAGCTGTGATGTAAGATACTCCTCTGAATGTATTTTGTAGAACAGTTTTGTTCCAAAGTGATCTTTTATCTTTACCCTCCTTCTGTTTGCTGCCTGAACATTTTACGACTCTCAGTGAAGCAGCGTAAACTTGTGAACACGTTTGGTGTGTGTTCTGCTGTTCTAGAGTATAAAGTGTTCAGTGTGTGTCATAATGTGGAGGTAGAGGTTGTTTATCTGTGTTTTTGAATCTCAGATCCATGTTGGAATCGCCCGGAGGTTTGCCTTTGAGTGCACTCCTGATCCAGACACAGGCGGCTGCCTGGAATTCCCTCCCAGCTCTCAACCCCTCCTACAGTTTGTCTCCGTGTTGTACCGGGACATGGGGGACAACATTGATGGGGTGAGGGCTCGAGCCTTCAATGACCCTGACAACGATGCCCAGCAGAACCACAGCACCAGCAGTAACAGTGACAGTGGCATAGGCAACTTCCTACCAGAGGAGAAGAGCAACAGGGTGCTGCTGGTGGACCTGGGTGGTCCTCCCAACCATAACCACGTCTCTGGATCACGTCACTGGGACAGTCCACCTTCTTCCCAGCAGGCCTGGAGTCCAACACTTGGGGCTGCGGCCTCCCCGCCCACTCTTCCTCCTCCACCACCTCCTCCTCCACCAGCTCTGAGAAACGGCCACTATCGTCACGATCCACACCTGGCTGACCTCCCTCATCCTCTCCCCTTACCTCACCCTGACGTCTCAGGCAGGCACTCACGAGGGGCCCACCCCCACCACTACCCACCATCCAAACGGGGAGGAGCAGTGGGAGGGGGAGAAAAGAGAGGGGCTGGAGGTGCAGCAGGGGCGGAGTCGCAGCGCTGGCTTCCAGTCCATGTGCTGAGGGACTGGCGTCAGCAGCACCACCACAGCCACCTGCAGGGTCTTAGTAGTGATCAGGAGTCATACGCCGAGTCCACTGACGGATGGTCATCGGCCAACTGCAGCACCTTACCTCCACCCATGAATAAGATCCCAGCAGACCGATACAGGGCTCCACTGGCCTCTGGAGACCGCCTGCCGCCACCTGGAGGGAGTCAGCCACCCCCTCCTCCCACACAGCCCCACTCCCACACACACCGGCTGGCTTCTCAGAAAGATGAGTGGGCCAAGAAGCTGTTTGGTGCTGGAGACAGAGACCGGCCTGGAACAGAGAGGAGAGAAAGGGATAAGAAACGGGGGAGTGCAAAGGACACAGAAAAAAAGGTGAGATTCTTTTCATTAGAACCTTTTTTTTTAGCTTTTTTTCAACTTAATTTTTAGTTCTGAGGCATCATTGTGTCCTTACCAGTAAAACTCAGGGATGAGTTCCACTGTGCCACTCTGTGAGGTTTTTGGAAGAGTTGTGTTAAAAGTGACTGTGAGATGAGAAGATCAGGCAGCAGATAGAAACGTCATCACACCACACTGCTGTGGAAACTTACTCTGAGCAGAATGTGTCCAAGGCTTCACTTTATTGAGGCTATAAATCTCACCATCACATTTTCACCTCCACTTTCTCAAGGCCTGGAAAGTTGACTCGACTTAACCCTATTCACTCCTTTTCTTGAAGTTCAGGAGTGAATGTGTATATGGCCAGTGTTTATCATCACACCGTACGGTGCGTTAGTGAATAATGGAGGCAGAGCAGTTGGCTGTCTGTGTGGACAGAGTTTACATGAATTGATAAGTTATTTATTTCCACTGCTCCAGTATCAGATCATGTTTAATGTATGAGTCCAGCTCCAGCCTTCACCTGAAAACCACCTGTTTCCACCTGTAATGAGAGTCACACAGGCTTCAGACCACAGTGAAGAACTACTGTGAAGTCTTTAACTCATTTTAACTCAGGAGCAGGATGATGTGTCCATTAGTTCAATTAATCACGATTAATTGTAATTAGTCCTAATTCAGTCATACATTCTGCATGTACTAAAACAGAGATAGGAGTTCAATTCTATAGCAGTCGGGTCAGTTGTAGTTGTTCAGATACAATTTACAAAGACATTTGTCTCAGTGGACTTTATACAGTTCTTAAAAGTAGCATTAAATTATTAAGATGATGAGTCTAAGTAAAGCAGAACACATTTCACAATAATTAATAATTAAATTAATTCACACCTTGAGCAGCATTTTGACTGTCACAAACTGTGTGTCATTTAAAGAACTGTAATTGAATTGGAAAACAATCATTTGTTATTTTTATTGACTTAAGTAAAAAGTAATAGAAAAAAATTCCAAAAGTTCCAACAGGTTGATGACAGAATTCAGTTGAATTCACATTATATATGGAAGTTAACCAAATGAGACGATTATAAAACACTAGAATTATTTTAAATTGTTTATCAAAACTATTAAAGATAAAATGTTCAAACTTCTCAGTCACTAAAAGATTTGTCAGTGTTCTGTTACAGACACAGTGACTTTAACTACAACAGAGTTGATTAATTTACTTAAATATGACCTAGATTTAAACTTTTCACTTTCACAAATGCTGCTCATTCTTTTCAAATGCACCTTTAAGATGAAGCTTGGAATTGACTTGTTTTAAAGGAGAAGTAGAAGTCGTACAGTGTGAACCCTGTTTTATCAATCCTGACTGGAATGTATCTGCACTGAACTACAAACCATCTGCTCAAATGCTCAGAAACAATCGCCAGGAGCTGCAGGAGAACTCCTTTTTTACCTCAACATAGTAACTGTACTATACAGTACTACACAATACTACGCTGTGCATGTATGGGCTGATATGTACTGAGTTGAGGTCAAAGAATTAACCTAGGAGTGGATGAAGCTTCCAGCTGAAAAACAGCCTGGAAAACATTCCTGGCATTTAGGAATGTCCAACGTATCCTCATTGACAAACAAAGTAAAAATTCAGACTCCTTCTAAGATTTCAGTCTTTCTACAGTTACTTTTTAACCTCGTCAGTGCCATAAGTATGAAATGGATGAGGTTTTTCCTCATTGTTTCTTTATTGAGTGTTATTGCCTGTTACGACACAGGGGGGCACCATTTCATTATCTTAACTGGGTATCTTCATAGGCATTCCTTCCTGCATTTTATTTTCTTCTCACAATCTTAAACACACCGTAGTTTGTTCTAACACCAGACTGTGGCCTGTTGGGTTATTTTACAGAACATTTATCTTAAGCATGTTTTTCGCCAAAAAATGCTAAAGTTTCATTCCTTCTCGAACTTCATTGAGAGATTGCTAAAAGATGGACAAAAATATTTTATGTCCCCCAATATTTATATTTGTAGGATAACAGAAAAAATGAAAAAAGTACCTTGGATGGTGCAGCAAGGGAATTTGATGTTAAGTTTTAATTAATTTTAAACATCTAACTTTTTAGCATAAATCATTAATAAAATATTTTATGAATTTCCTGAGATTTGCGCATTGTTTAAAAAGTAGAAGATTTATATCTCGGGAGTAAACTCTTTACTAGACTAGTCAGAAGATGAAGGATTTAAACAGTTTTTTTCTGTGTTGATGCACAGCTTTGATGCAGCTGCGTATGTAAACAGGAAGGATCCCTCATATTGGCTACTTTGTGTGTGTGAGAGACAAGGGGAGGGGGGTTTGAGATGGAGAGCTCAGATATGTCTGAGTTTGTTTTCCACTTAAATCTACTCCTTCTCAACTGCTTCTGTCTGAAAACTCTGCACCACATAGTCTGGTGTACAGCCACAGATCTGATTCATACTGTAAAATGTTTTGGATCTAAAACAGCTCCTCGGGAAAAGGGGGCACTGGGGGCTGCTTATTATAATTGTTATTTAATTTATATGTTTATTATTATTATTTTGAGGTGGTTACAGCATTACCCCTCCAGTAGATGGCACCCTAGGTGACTGCCTGTGTGACCTGAAGAGCCAACTCAGGAAACACTGAGGCAATACCACTGTGCCAGAAGTCAGGGAACTGAAGTAGGTGCATATCCACTACCTGGGTGTCACTCTGTGGTTGTGCGGTCAACAATCACAGGACTGTAGATGCCTGTGTCCGCTGTGTGGAATTTAACAGTGAAATGAGAAAAAACGGTTGAAAATGGTTTCACTGCTGTGTTTGTGTGTGTGCGTATGTGTGTGTGTGTGTGTGTTTCACTCCTATGCATTTAATTTTACCTATCACACCTCTCCTACTCAACACACTCCCCCACAGACAGGTGTGAGGCGTCCTGGCGAGAGAACTGCTGTTATTTTGCTTGTGATTGTGTTTTTGAACAAAACCAGTTTGAACTGGCTCATAGGTACCCATAATTTCAAGTTCCATCCATCCACCCATCTTTGTCCTCTTATCCGTTACCGGGTCAAGGGGGCAACCACGACCACCACCCAAATCACACTGCACCACACCAGCCCCCCGTGAACCTTCCTGCGGGTGGTGAGTCCACTGGAAGGTACCAACAGCCCTAACCGGGATTTGATCTTACCCAGGAGGTGAACACCAATGACAGAGACATTGGCTCTGGGCCAAAGCGCCACTAATTTCAAGTTGTACTTTGAAACCAACACTCTCCTGAGTAGATTATTTGTTGCCACGTGTATGTAATACCTCACATATGAACTCTGGTCTCCTGCCCTTCAGGGTGGACGGTTCCGTGGACTGACGATGGGTTTTCCTGCTCTGCCCCAACGTTCCTCTGCCAGACGTTCTTTTGGACGCTCCAAACGACTCAGCCTCGCCCGCTCCCTGGATGACCTGGAGGTAGGAGCACACTCATACACAATATTTTGATGGAGCTCAAACAACAACTCTTACTGTCACATTTAAGCACGCGAGCAACATCTCTGGTAACAGCACGTCCTGAGCTTCATTATATCACATGGTGGCTCAGGCCCTCTTCTCACATCGCCATGGTAACATATGCACAGCCATTGACATTGATTGTCTATTGATTAAGCTAGTAGTTATTCAGGGACCTGCATTGGTTTTAAGTTATTCTGAAAGTTTTTCAGTCTATTTTTACATATTGTGTGTCCATGTGTGTGTGTTTACAGAGTGATTTTGGTTCAAAGATAAACATCAGAATAAAAGTAAATGTTTCCGCCATTTAGCAACTGCTAAGGGAGCAGATAAACAGATCTGTCTCTTCACTGCTGGGGGCTTTCGAGACCTCTGTATATTTTTTACATTTTTTTTATCTTCTTTCGTGTTCACAGCAGAAAGTGATAGAAAGAATGAAAATAACTTGAAGAGTTTCTAAACTGGAACAGTTGTGTGTATTTGTATTAGTATAATGAACTGTTATATAACATCACAGAGTCTGATCTTGCAAAATTTCCGAAATTTAGCAAAAAATATAACAAAATAAGTATACATCCGAAAGTTTTGGCTTTAAAAATGTGGATTCTCGTTTTGAAATTGAGATCACTGGTAGCTGCGAAAGATCACTGATAGCTGTGCTTTCTTAGACGAGATTGTACACAGCATACTATTGGCTAATACAATGCATACTTGGTGTACCATTGGCTAATTGAGCAGGCTCTTCTTTTCCTCACGCTGATTGGATTGTAGCATCTCATTGTAGCATCTCCCCCCTTGTCTGTCGGCCACTCTCTCGTTCACTTCGCTCTGCGTCGCCATTATACAATTATATTGTGCATATAATTGTGTGGGAAAGGATAATACAGTCTAAGGAGGGTTGATAACAGTGTGGGGGAGGTTTGTAAAGGATAAATATATACATAAAAATAACAACTATCTCGTCCCTTACTTTTTTTTACCATTTTTCCTATTTTGTGGTGGGTCTTGGAATGCAACTACCATGACAGGAGAGGGATCACTGTGATGTTTGTGTGGAACCTTAGTTAAAACAAAGGGGAGGCTCTGTAATGATCCAGGGCTGCACTTTGCATTTCCCACCGTTGTATGTGTTTCATACAGGGATAAATGTTTTCTCTGACCCATTTCCATCACATCCTCTGTTTTCTCTCTTCTTTTACTCATCACCCAAAAACCCTCCCCCTCTTTTCTACCTTTTTCTTCCGGTTGTTAGGCCTTTTTCTCTCGCCTAACATACAGCAATCCTGGAAAAACAGAGAGGGCTTTGTGTGTGTAAGTTGAGGGGGGGTGGGCAAAGAGAAGTTTGTGTGTGTATGTGTGTGCCTATGGTTGTGGTTGTAAGAGAGAGAGATGGTGGTGAGAAGCAATGTGGGATTTAAGTGTTAGCCTGCACCGCTAATGAGCTCTGATCAGCAATAAACTGGCATTCTACTCATTAGTGAGGCCCCAACACAAAAGTCTCTCTCTCGCTCAGACTCTCTCTTTCTATTTCTCTCTCCCTCTCCCTCTCTCTCTCTCTCTTTCTCACCCTCTCACCTGCAAGATGTCCTTACACAGAGCTATGATCATCCAAGTAAATTTGAACATACAGTATAAACAGCATGTTACATTGATAGAAACTTCTGTTGAGGTCACACTCAGACTCACCCTAAATAGGTGTCAATATAAAAAGTCACATGAAGGTAAAAGGTGACTCCATCCAGATTACTATGTTCTATAAACAAACTTTACTTTTGTTCCCTCCCCGTTTGGAGTCGACTGTTAAAAAACGTTCTGTTGTTATTTGTGGCTATAAAAACGTGCTGATGCACACAAAGTGACCAGTGGTCATCAGAGATGGGGATGGCAGGCTGGTGAATCAGGCTGCATTTGGATCCATACTGCTGATCTGTGTCTGGAAACAGCAGTGACAGTAATAATACAGAGCAGGAGTAATTCAAAGGTCAAAAGAACAAATATGAGCGCCGAAGAGACGCACACAGCAGCCCTGATTGCACATCTGATTGCTGCTGTTTGCCACAAGAGCCCGACATAATGGTCAGTGGAGGAGGGTGAAAATGGCCGTGCACAGGAGATGGAGTGTTGGTGGGTGAGAGACAATCAAGACAGTCGCAAGATTGACCACAAAAGGAGAGATTCTCAGCTGAAGCAGATTGTGTTTCCTCTCTGGACATCAGCCTTTTTTAAACTGCTCACTTTGATTTTGTGATTTTTGAGGAAAAAGGGAGAAAAACAATTAGCCATCAACTCCAAGACAGCGTTAGACTGTACAGTAGTCAACAGTAATATTATCGGATGTTTTAAAGGTTAAAAAAGGTGAAAAAACAAAACAAAATACAATGCTCCCAAGATAATGTTGGCACAGATTATGGTAAATGAAAGTTAAAAAGCAGAAAAAAACCAACTTTGGGTTTTTCCCAGCCCAGTCTAGTCCAGTCCAGTTTGGTTCTCCTTATGTGGCCTACTGGGTTTCAAATCTACATATTTCTTTATGACAGACATCTTGTCATCTCTCTGTATGTATACAACAACCAGCAGTGGCCATTTTGAATCTCACAAAAACAGAACCTCTCCCTGGGCACAACAGGCCAGATGACAGGGTTCAGAGCCAAGAATGGTTCTTGTTCTTCATAGGTTGTAAAAAAAAAAAAAATTTGATAAGATAATTAATTTAAATAAATTAATCACAAAACCTATAATTAACACATTTTTTAATTCCGTTCTTCCATCCACTTATTTGACTTTGGCACATTGCGTCATGGATCATAAGTAGAATTCTCTCAGGTGTCATGTGATTGTGCTTCTGTCTTTCACCTATGAACCAAGTGAAGGAGGAATGCAAGTGTGTGTTTGTGCATTTTGTCACGTGTTCTGTGGGAAAGATTCAGGATGACATTACTGAGTCACAGCATGTCCAGGAATGTGTTATTTTTTTTCTCTGTGCTGTTACTGAGTCATCAGACAAATATCAATCAGCTGCAGGTTGACAGTATAATCACCCCTCCCTCCCCTGTGTGAAATGGCCAGAGGCAGAACCTGATGCTAAATGTGCATTAGCCTAGGCGTTTTAACAATTTTTACTAACTATACCACGCTACGTGATTTTGTAGTGTACTTTGAGTTTTTAGTATATAGTCAACAGTTTCTTTTCTAAGACTAGATGAAAATCAAAGTGGAAGTGATGAAGGATGATGACCAGATTAACTACACAGTAGTCAACTAACAAACAGGTGTCAGCAGGAGCAGGAACAGGAACATGTAACTGATCTCTTTCACTGTCACATCAACATTTTAATACATGTCTCTGTTTAAAAAAATAACGATGTGTAATTCGATGATAATAAAATATATAATAATAAACTGATAAATATTAAACTAAATAACTAGTAACCTTGTTAAGTAAACCATAGGGTCCTTTATAAACAGAGTTTGGTCAATTTAATAAACAATGTGTTACATTTGATTTGAGTAAAACTGAACTTTAATTTAACATAGAGACAATGTTTTTTTATTTTTTTGGAAAACATTCACACTGATATGCGCACTCACATTCACACCTGCATTCACAGTTCATTTCTGTGGGAGTGAACTGCAGTGACCCACACCATCAGTTACCAGCAGTTATTGAACTGCCAACCTACTTACTGTAAAAAACATTTGCCACTGATGACAAAAACATTTGCCACTCTTCTACTGTGTGACCCTCTCAAATAATCTATATTTATAATTTAAATTTTTTAAATATATATTTTTTATATTCTACTGAATGTTATTCTTCTATGTTCGAGACTCTTCCTCCTGACGACCTGTTGCTCCTCAGCCCTGGGGAACGCAGCCATCCATCTCTGGCTGTTTTGTCTGTTTTGCCCCCATTGCCCCCCCCGTCAGTTTACTCTGTGTGCCCTATAGACATGCTCAGAGCATACTAATCAGATGACAGAGGAGTGAGGCCAACACAGTCAGCTCAGCACTGAGTTCACATGTGTCTGTGTTCCTTTATGGTGATGGGGACTCCCTGCACAGCCCCTGCTATACATGTGTGTGTCTGCATGTGTGTGAGAAAGAGGGTATGTTTGTCTCAGCCCACAGCAGAGTGGGTGGAATAGAAATAATTCGAGGGTGGGTGGAAAACAGCGAAAGGACAGGGGAGAGAGACACAGAGTGAGGGAGATGATAGAGAAAGAAAAGGAGGAGGGGGAGGAGTAAGGGTGAGAGAGAGAGAAGGAGAGAGATAGGGAACCTGAGTTAAGCGACAGCGACGTTCTGTAGTGGTTTGAAAGCCATCAAGCTTTGCAGCTTAATCTGTAAGAAAGAAACACGGGCACACACAAATATACAAACATACACATTTAACAGCTGATGGCAGTGCACAGTGAGGGTAGCGCTCACACTCCGTGCTGAGGATTACTGAGTCTCTTTTCTTCATGGAGCTGCAAACTTTGAGTGTGGATTCAGAACCCTCTGCTGATCCAGTGAGTAAATTACTTTTTGTGTGTGGGTGTGTGGTGCATTTTGTGCTTCTGAAATGGTTTTATCTATTTCTTTTTAATGTTTACTCCAGCCCAATAGTTTCTGACATCTATGGTGTTGAAAACACAGTCTTCTGTCTGCGTCTGTTTTCTTAGAGAAGCGTTAGTGATCATGAATTTTCAGAATCATAAAAATACCTTCTTCTTACTTCACTATGTATCTCACTATTTCAAATGAGACATTTAGTTCTCGACTTTTTCCTGTACTCAGCTTATTTTAGTTTTGTAGAATTTAATGCATTGAAACTTTGCTGGTAAGGCCTGTCTCCGGTCATGTGACCTGTGCAGACCAATCAATGTGCTGAATGTGACACGCACGAGTTCAAGGAAAACCCTGTTGATTCTTAGCGTTTATGATTAGGTCGGTGCAGATCTAGAAAAAGTTCCAGTTCT